GGACAACATTGGGACACCAGAGGGACCCCATGGGGACAACATTGGGATCCCCCATAGGGACACCATTGGGACAACATTGGGAGACCATGGGGACCCCATAGGGACACCAGAGGGACAACATTGGGACACCAGAGGGACCCCATAGGGACATAGAGGGACGCCATAGGGACAACATTGGGATCCCCCATAGGGACGCCATTGGGAGACCATAGGGACAACATTGGGACACCAGAGGGACCCCATAGGGACACCATTGGGAGACCATTGGGACATAGAGGGACCCCATAGGGACACCATTGGGAGACCATTGGGACATAGAGGGACCCCATAGGGACAACATTGGGATCCCCCATAGGGACCCCATAGGGACACCATAGGGATCCCCCCATAGGGACACCAGAGGGACAACATAGGGACACCAGAGGGAGACCATAGGAACACCAGAGGGACAACATTGGGATCTCCCCCATAGGGACAACATTGGGAGACCATTGGGACATAGAGGGACCCCATAGAGACAACATTGGGATCCCCCATAGGGACGCCATTGAGAGACCATAGGGACTCCATAGGGACGCCATAGGGACAACATTGGGACATAGAGGGACCCCATAGGGACAACATTGGGATCCCCCATAGGGACGCCATTGAGAGACCATAGGGACTCCATAGGGACAACATTGGGACATAGAGGGACAACATAGGGACACCAGAGGGACACCAGAGGGACCCCATAGGGACACCTGAGGGACAACATTGGGACATAGAGGGACACCGTAGGGACCCCATAGGGACATAGAGGGACACCAGAGGGACAACATTGGGATCTCCCCCATAGGGACGCCATTGGGAGACCATAGGGGCGCCATAGGGACAACATTGGGACATAGAGGGACCCCATGGGGACCCCATAGGGACAACATTGGGATCTCCCCCATAGGGACCCCATAGGGACAACATAGGGACACCAGAGGGACCCCATAGAGACAACATTGGGATCCCCCATAGGGACAACATTGGGATCCCCCATAGGGACGCCATTGGGACATAGAGGGACTTATAAGGATCCCATAGGGACCAGAGGAACCCCATAGGGATACAGAGGGACATATAGGGACCATAGGGCCATATAGGGACTGTAGGGCCATATAGGAACCGTAGGGATCCAATAGGGACACATAGGGACCCCATAGGGACCGCAGAGACCCCATAGAGATCCCATAGAAACCCTATATGGACATATAGGGACCGTAGAGACCCTATAGGGACACAGTGACCCCACAGGGACCTATAGGAAACCATAGAGACCCCATAGGGACCCCATAGACACCATAGGGACCCTATATGGACATATAGGGACCGTAGAGACCCTATAGGGACGCATAGAGACCCCATAGGGACCCCATAGACACCATAGGGATCCCATAGGACCCTATATGGACATATAGGGACCGTAGAGACCCTATAGGGACGCATACAGACCCCACAGGGACCCTATAGGGAACCATAGAGACCCCATAACCCCCCGTGCTGCCGCATAGCGACCCCCAAATCTCAACGGGAGCCCCGAAATCCCAATAAAATACCCTAAAAAGTCATCGGGAGGCATCGATGTCCGACCGGGGACCCCAAAAATCCCAACGGGAACCCAGAAACCCCAATGGGACCCCATGAAACCCAATGGGGTCCCCCAAATATCGACGGGACCCCAATAAACCCCAATGGGATCCCATAAACCCCAATGGGATCCCATAAATCCCAACGGGATCCCATAAACTCCAATGGGATCCCATAAACCCCAACGGGAACCCCAAATCTCAATGGAAATCCCATAAACCCCAATGGGATCCCATAAATCCCAATGGGATCCCATAAATCCCAACGGGATCCCATAAACCCCAATGGGAACCCCAAATCTCAATGGAAACCCCATAAACCCCAGTGGGAGCCCATAAATCCTAATGGGATCCCATAAACCCCAATGGGGTCCCCCTCCCCAGCGCCGCCATTTTGGGGCCCCGCCCCACAAGAAGCCCCCCCAGAGCCCCCAAAGACCCCATAAGGCCCC